GTGATTTGGGGTATTTGGCGCCAGCGCCTGTAGCGCGGGCGCCAGGAGGTTTCGTGCCGAGCGGATGTGATATTCGTGTTTAGGAGGTCAGACTACCCCTGGTAACAAGTTTTCAGCGAGTTTGGTGATTTAAGGTATTTTGGCGCCGGCGCCAGGAGGTTTCGTGCCTAGCGGATGTGATATTCATGTTCAGGAGGTCAAACTACCCCAGGGAACAAATTTTCAGCCAATTCTGCCAACGCAGAAAAAAGTCGGTCAAAACTGGCCTGTTTTTGGAAGATTGGGGCAGTAAAGGGTAAATAGTGCCATTATGCTTTATCCCAAGATTTTCTTTGACGTGTCAATTTTGATAACAGAACCCTTCTAAATCTGTACAGTTTCAAAACGGCGCTTTCGCAAAAGGTGGCCTAAGCTGTTCTCCGCCAAAGAACGAATGTTTTTCTAGTACATGTGAAACTGTATAAGTGGGGAGCTGATGCCGTTGGTACGGTAAAGAGGCGAATCCGTTGGTACATGCCCACCCACGCCTAGCACCGTTTGATCTACTCAAAGGCATCAGGCATGCTAATTTGGCACTAGGTCTAAAATGGTAGCATGGGTGCTATATAGTGGAAAACGGTGAAAAGCGGAGTGAAACTGTCAAAAGCCTGTAAAAAAAGCCATTGATCAAGAGAAGTTTATCAGAAAGCAATTACAGACGATCTTCCCTTTGGCATCGTGCCAAAACCGCTACGGTACACAAGGCTGCATATACAGGGGGGGGGGGGGGCAAAAAAAGTCACTTTTCTTCATTGACTTTCGAGGCGCTATAAGTTACACTTTATAAATTCTGATCGGACATTTTTACCACCATATTGAAGAGCATATTAAATACTATCATGACACTCCGCCACAGCCTTCTGGACGAGCGCCATCGAGAGATTCTGGCACGCGACCGCGATGTGGTGCCTGAGATCAGCGAGATAGTCGATTTCTCCGCCACCGTAGACCACCCTATTGAACTCCGCCCGAACCGGGTAATTGAGGTCAGGTGACCTACTTGTTAGGTACTCAGCCCCCTTCCATTCCAAGTAGGCGAGAGTTTCTCCAATGCCCTTCGATTGTGGTGGCACCCAATGCTGTAGCAGTACAAAGTTTCCAAGAAGGTACGGGCGACGACATGTGAGGAGGATATTTCGAGTTGCTCGATGTAACCGCCAGCGCTCACCTTCAGTCCGGGGTCCACGAAGAAAATATCGGTCTTTCCATTCCAGGTACGTCCGGTCCATACCATCAACCCGCGCCTTGGCGACTGTGGTGAAGATGATGTCCTAGACCGTGGCGACGTTGTCGGAGCTGCTCGATGTTGGAGGTCTTCCAGATCGAGAGTACTGGTCTCCAGGTAGCTATCCATGGGTGACTCCATACTAGAAGTTTCGCAGCTGTTTGGAGGTGACATGAATTCCAAAGGTCTTCTCCAGTCAGGCTGCGACTGGAGATGACTTCATATTTTGGTGTACATGAAGGTGATGGCGAGCCAGCTCCTGCTTATCGAGGAACATCTTGGGTATCTTCCGCCCTGGTACTCGTATCCACGTCCTCTGTCTGGGCAGCGAAAACTTTGCTGATATGTGACTCGGTCGAAGTGACTTTTTTGGCCCTCCCCCTGTACATACAGAAATAGCGAGAAAACATTCGAAAAAGTAAGAACGACAGAACGTGAGCGGAGTCACTGATGCTTTGTTGGAGTCAGTTGAGCAACACTGGGTCTTAACGCCCAGACTGCGTCATTCTGAGGCATATGTAGCTGGTAGGAGGGTGCCTATTGCGGTGCGCACTATACATCTTTCCCCCCATAGGCTTTGGTCCTCATAAAAAATCTATCTTATTTCTTGAAGCTTCTTTTGTGAAATAAGTACTTAAAGGCGGTGGACATGATTGCGGGGGGCGGACGGTTGCCGTAAACGTCACTGGTGAGAGGGATCTCTTGAAGCCCTTCCATCAGTAATGTTGGCAACAACCGCCCGCCTCCAGCAATCGTGCCCCCTTCTTAAAAAGATTGCTCGGAAAATTTAGATCAATCTTTCCTCGACAAGAACAAAAAATTTAGGTCAAGTGTACCATTCTATCTTGGTGTGGTTTGTATTAGGCCACTGGGACCACGTGATAAACTGTACGATTGCAGCACGCAATCAGGAGACGAATCGTTTCTTTTGATTTCTTAGGCAATCACTGGAGAAAAAAAATTGTTCGGCTCCCAGGTAGGAAGCATCACCATTAGGCCGGTATGGCGCTGTTTATCGACGGGGGGCATTTTGTACTATCACTGCTTCCCTTGTTCCGGTTTGCAAATCTCACTTTGGTAAAACTTGTGAACTCTTGTAAAGCTGGAGCAGGATCGTCTAGCCACCATCATCCGAAAACGTGTCAACTCGAGAAAACGCCTACGATGGCGTCGAACACAGATCTATGGAAAGCAAAATGCCTCCCCCCCCCCCGTTCGATGAACTGCGGCGGCCGCTATGTGCAAACCTAACAGAGAAGCTACAATACGACCATTTCGTTGTTCATGAACTCTACTCTTCGAATTTTAGAAATTCTTTTCTGCAGTCTCTATCAGCGAAACTGGTAAGGGTCAAAACAGATTATATTCTTTCTACTGAAAAAGGACTGTCGCAAGCGAGTTGCGAGTTCAGAAAATAGCATGTAAACTGACCTCTCCATAAGGAATCATAAAAGTGTTGATGTTGGGTTATTGCGGCAGAATTCCGCGCCCAATCATGTGACATCGAGGTTTCACTACGACGCTTGCAGACCTAAATGACATGTTTGTAAGTAAACGAAATTCACGAAAGCATCTGGTAAGGGGAAAGAAAGAGCAAGAGAACGTTCCGATATATCTGAGTTCTGCCATCAACAGGGAACCGGAAGAGCTCAGTACGGATCACTCGAATGGCACGAAGGTATAAGATAGAAGTAGAGCAAAGAAATATACGACACCATCCCCCAATGTGCTGCTCTCGTAGAACTCCGTTCCTACCGTACCCACCACCTCCCCTACTTTTCCCGGGATTTCGGGGTCTAGGAAGGGGTAGGCTATACATCTCCACGCCCCTTCCTCATCTCTTGCGGCCAGATACAACCGCGTTCGTGTTCTAGCATGGAAGATGTGTAGACCCTGGTGCTCCGCCACTGAGTTTAGTTGAAGCGAGCTGTAACGCAAGACCATATTAGAGGAAGACCAGCTAAGCCGCTGTTATGTCCTGCCCTACTTGCATTCTGGTATTTAATGATTACCAGTCGGCACGGCCGGCGTTGAACCAGTGTGACATAGTTTTTCCCCAATGAAAGAGAGGGCCAGTCGATCGGCTGCTTAGCCGGCGCGAAATGGTCACTAAAATATTAATTTTTTGATGAATTTACCGCACTTTACCGTTTCACTTCATTGTAAATACCGCCCCCCCCATCCCTCCCTACGAAAACAGTCATCAAATTTTTTCCTATGCCGCAGCTATCTAAGTGACGAGGAATGGCAGAATGAAAGCTATTGCAAATGGTAACCAACAATTTGATATGCTGGGCCTACGTGGTTATCCCTACCCTAAAGTTCACCTGCAAAACCTTTTTACAAGTTTCACCTTAATGCTTCGTGGGCTTTTTCGTATGTCGTTTTGAGGGCATTTTGTCCTCGGCATCGCACCGCCCCCGATCAAGTAGCCCCCGCGGCGACCGCTTCCCAATCTCGGATGTTCTTCATTGATTTCGTCCGCCAACCGATTGCCTATCATTTGCCACATTTTCCACTCTCCGGGCTTCTTTGGATTTCCACTCTCCGGGCTCCTTTGGAACCGATTACGGAATTTTTGAAAAATGTAGCTCACAACTGCGCGCACGCCCCGCCCCACGCCACAGTGGGCGGAGCTTACCCTAATTCATGCATATTCCGTACATCTTGGCCCATGCCCTACTCATCACCCCTGACCCGCCCCCTCAAAGTGGCTCTTGCAGGTGATGCAGGAGTTTCCGGAGCAGACACGTGAGGTTCAGACAGACAACAATGAACAGACAACTTCTGGTTCATATATGTATATAGAGGATATTCCTAGGATAATTCCGCCATTGAATACACTTCATGTCTCGGAGATGAGGCGGGCGTGACAGCATACTCTGTAAGAACATGGCGTACGATGCGCTTTCCATGAAACATTTCAATAAGAAACAACTATATCCTGCCATGCGCTGATCAAAGACATGATAATAACTCTGCAAATGACAATATCCCACTAGGAGCGCAGCTGCGGCCACGTTCAAATGCCAGGCCCCTCCTCACCTCCGGTATATGGAGTGTAACGATAGCGAAACCTGCGACTCGCGGACTTAACGCTACGAAGGTTATAGAGCAAGCAAATAATAAGGGGATAGGGGGGAGAACGGGGGCTAGAAAGCAGTTTGTGGCATTCGTCCAAAAATGCCTCTGCCCAAGGCCGTACAGAACAGAAAGTTTTTTCGCAAGTTCTCCGCCGTTGAGATTTGCTTTTTCGTCATTTACCCGATATATAGCAAACATGTTACTTTTTGAGCAAGTACTGAACATCGTGCCTTATGCCTTCAGTCGGCCTGATATTCACCCCTCCCCTCTACCACAAAGGCCTCCTTCCCGTACAAACCGACCAAATACTCACAAATCCCACGAAGGTTCTGAATCGACGTTGAATGCTTTCTCAAAGAGTTACCCAAGAAGGCTGAAAAAACATGAAGGGTTTATCTTTGAACTTCACACAAGAGTAAACTCTAATGGTAAGAAAAAAAAATTTGCAATCACCACGCTCTAGAGAGTGAACCACTTTTCGGTTTCCGGGATCTAAGACCATGTTTGGAACGGAGATTACAGCGACGTCAAACTTCAACGAACAGAAGAATTATATTGGATAGTTAACCAGACAACGAATGACAGTAGTCTATCGAAGGTCGCCTCCGCAATGGTATAAAACAACAAAGAAAAACTTGAACGTCCATTCGCCATGAATACCTTCCCACTTGTTCTAATTCTTTGCGTTGCCGTTGTCGGCGTATGGTAAGTCTTACTGATCGTGACCTCTCAAAAATAGCCTTGCACACTTCTGAGAAAAAACATTGTAAGGGTAAGCGTTCACGCTCAACTACCGGGGCTTACAAAAAAAGGAAAGGTTTAGTTAGGCCGGTAGTACGATTCCTTTATAGTACAACTATGGCTAGCTCCCACAGAAGCTCAATCTCCACTCAGTCTTTTTCCGTACAGTCACTTGCAAGCTATCCTATTCAAGATAGGGAGGACTACAGCTATAGAAGTGTAGCACGTTCGCCACAATATGTGAGCAAGGATACTAGATCGTCGTGATAGCTTGCACATACCTGTCTCCGCCCGTCAATCAATAAATAGCGCTGGGGCTGGGCGTATGGCTGGCCGTGCGCCGTGTTGCGCGGATGTAGTCGGCTCGTCGAGCAGCGAGTGGTGGGCGGGGTCACAAAAAATACCTAGCTATCACTGCTTCATTCCCACACACATTATTCTAGCAAATATGGTAATCTTCTTTAACTACGGACTTACCAAATGCGCATATGGAAAGGATTCACCTCGAAGGTGATCATATGGTGTGAAGTTCTCTCGAGCTCTTTGACTTGAGAATCATTTCCAACATCATGGTCACTTTCCACGTATACTAGTTGTTTCTTTGCTGTTGAGTTTAGTAAATTTTCGATATTGGAAGCTTTTATTACAGCGTATTCAAATTATATGATTAGCGGCCCGACGGAAAGTGCCCGCAAGCAGAAACTGTTTCTTCAACTTTACCTGAGGGCAGCTGGAGAATACTTCAATTTTCAAAGTGTAAGGACCATTTGTGAAGCTGTTCAAATCTTCTATTACAGGGGAGCCATCCGCGAGAAACGTCAACAACGCACTGTTATTCAGCGTACTGTGATTAACAACTATGGTGGTCAAGGATTCAATCGTGTACCACCACCACCACCGTATGGTTTCAATAGAGGTGTAGGATGGAACAACGGCTGGGGCGCTCCTGCTCCTCTCAATAGAGGACCATTCGGTGGGTTCTTACGAAACAGGCCCTGCTCACCTTTAACTGCCTCACTCAGAAATGCGCGCCAGATTTTGATAGAAAGTTTCCCGGCGGGTGAAAGCTGGAAATTTGTCTTTCGTGGTAGCTGAGATCATCTGAAAAGGAGTATCAGAGGATCACCACCGTTTAGATCGGAAGTGTTAGGCGCCGGGGTCAGAACACCTTGAAGCACCAAACTTGCCTCACGAGCACCCCACCTCACTCCTGTATACGAAACGCCGCTGATGAGCATGCGTTTGTGAGCATGAAGGGCACTGGCGTCTGAACTATCCTAGCCCAGTGCCTCTGGCACAGGCGTCAGGTGGTTCCGCTCAAGCAGATGCGATATTCATGACTGAGTGTCAAAATATCCTGGGGAGCAAAGTTGTAAACGGGAAAGCTAGATCACTATGTGGTTCCCAAATTGGGAAAGCGGGGCACTAGAGGGTAAATGGGGTCACACCTCTGAAATCATTTCTGGAAAATTTTTGGGGATACTATTTGACCGGGTACATCTCCTAAGACTTTTCGTCTACTTCAAGCTCCGACGAGAGCGGAAACGTCGGAACTTAGGCTTGGTATTGCCCTTAAACCTTATGACCCGTAAAATATGCCACAAGGACCCCAGCAAAACCACTTTTGAGGGCCATTTCCCACACCCTGCAACTGCGTACAATATGTTGAAAAAATCTGGATACCAACAAGTAAACACTGCAGAGGTTGAAACAACGGAGGTCATGGGATGAACCGTTTATGGCACCCTCTCAGACCAACCTCGAGTCATTTTAAAACAAAACATAAGCCAGGAATGTACACGAAGCTCATGATCATTTTAGGTCCTGCTCAGCCAACCAGCGTAATAAGGACGACAGTCATCAGACAAGGATGAGTCTTCAGTGTGAAGAAAAATTGTTATAATAAGATTTTTGTGGTATTATAATGTGTTCACATGTGAATAGTAACGAACTCTCAACGGGAAGTGTCTGACCCTTCACAAACTTCTCCTTACAGCAGTAATCTCCCAACAAGTGAATGCCATCCAGAGATACAGAATGGGAAAACAGTAGCACTGAACCGTAATTTGTACTAATTTTCTTGAAGCTTACGAGGTTTATAGGTAAAGCTTTATTCAAATGGTCTGAAGCCTTGACTGAATCGGCGTCTCCAGAGGTCTAAAAATTTTTCAATTCCGGACTATGTTCTATTTCACCGAGCACCGCATCTTCAGCGTTTCCGACGTACTGTTGAGAATTCCGAGAAGTTTAGCTAATCTAGAGCACGAGCTTATGCAGGGTTTTACTTTTCATGGGGAAAATCCATCACCACATTGAACACTAGTAAACGGCAAGGTTACCCGGTGCATCCTCTCCTTAGACAGGGAATAATGAGCAGAAGCGTAACGTTAAGGCGAGACAGACAAGACAATCATAAGCTGTCGCGTGGTTGCGCGCGCGGCTCTACCGGCCATGCGCGGCAAATTTCTCGATGCGCACTGCTTGTCGACTGGAGCAGCGAAACCACTCCGATGAGGATGTGCAGGCTGAAAAATTGCGATCTACTTCCTACATTCACATTCGAGTGCCGAAGAAGGTAGCTCGTCCTTCACAAAGTGGCGGTGTCGCTCGCCACGCCCACTCATGTGGCATATTAGGATTGTTTTGTCACAGACCCAACGCTAGCAGCATTGAGGTTCCAGTTACCCACCCCATCTCTCATTACATGTTTTGGCAGGTATATACATTGTTTTCACGCTGGTCAAATGGTAACTCGAGTTTCATTCGGACTGTCTTCCCTCTTCTTCAGAAGAAGTTAAGCCGATACACTTAAAAACCCGTGGACTATACTAGGCTGAACGAGTTAGTCGGACACTTCTACATTTCTACAGTAAGCAATAGTAGTTAAATGCTCAATCTTCTATCAGAATGTGCAACAGGACGGTTTTGATTCACTAGGGCAAAAAATAGAGCACCCCACCGACAAAGCATCAGAAAGCACACGAGTCTACCGTAGGTTACAACTTGACTTTAATACGTTGATGGTTCTTCAGCTGGTGCAGTTCGTTGCAGTGGAAACGCAAGGTAATTGAAGGTAAAGTGAATAAATATTTTGTGGGCATAAAAACCTGTTCATAAACTACGAAACTGCTTTCTATCCATACTGGATTCGCTTGACCTGCACTCACGTCAATTTACTCGCTACTAAAAAATATTTGTAAGGATTTTTGAAGGCACGTCTCGACGAGACCACTTTGATATTCGGCAGCATTCTCTTTTAGAAGGGTAGTTCTGCTCGCAGCATAGAGCATGTACTATTCGCAGTATCGCGTGAACAAAACGCGATCCCGCTCGCGACGCAGGCGGCAACAGCCCCGTCACTGCCACGGCAGCGCCTAACTTCCGTTCTGAAGGTATCGATGGTGCAATTGTTCCCGCTACAAGCTCTCGTCGTCTCTCCTCTCCACAATGGTGACGGTAAGGGGGAAGAGCCGATACCAGCAGGGTCTGAACTCGTTCAACCACGTCCTTCCTTCGCTTTATCTCGTAGAGAAGCGTTTCCATGGGGTTCTACATTGGACACTTCGGGCCGGACTTTTGGCGTTCCTCTTCTTCTTTTTTGTTACTCACCATATTATCATAAGTTGTTTGAGCGTACTATTTCCTAACGCGGACTGTGTCTATAAAGGCATATTCTTCGCTGATCATGTGGGCCGCTGCACCTCTCAATTGGTTGCGACCCTTTTTTCCTCCAAGAGGCGGAGTTGATCAGTCAGAGGGAGAACCTGATCGAAACAAGTCGCGCGTGCGATGAGCATGAATACGCATTACAACAGCTTAGCGAACTCCGAAATTTTGACCCTGTCTCTTAGCTCGTCATTAGAGCAAAGCACTCCGATAGAAAAGTAAGCAGGACATATAGTTGTGAATCCTTCAACCGATAGGGTGTGTGAAGGGGCAAGAATTGCGAACGCAGCCAGAACAACCTTTCCGCCAATCGCTGTGGACCCAGGATGGCATTATTGGTCGAAAAGACGCTCTGGTGAGGCTTAGATCGTTCGCCATGAGCCCTACGTGTACTGTATTTTACTCGCAGCACACAAAAAAAAACTTGATCGCTATGCACGGTCACTTTCAAAGAACAGATCACTTCAGAGTCAGGTATCCAAAAAAGCTTTAACATTACCTATTAATCACTCAAAGACACATCACCATGGCATTTGTTGGGTAGTGGGCTCAGTCAAGAACCGCCGAGTAAGTGATCTCATAAATAGAAAACAAAGCGCAAAAAAAAACCGTCGCGACACACCCTAGAGAAAAAACCACTCCGGCAGTTTCACAGTGCAGACTCCTGGACCTGCTGGTTTCGTACCACCACCCACTAGGCGTCTTTTGGGTTCAAAATCGTGGCACTATTCAACAATTACTACTCCAAAGGTCAGAAAATATTTATTTGCTGAAGCTTCGCCCAACTGAGTATTCGGGTGCCCTGATCAGCGAATGATAGCACACGGTGTGCGGCGCTAACGCCGAATTGGCGCCAACAGTACACCTAGCCTCAACGCCGCCAGTCCTTTTTCACACAAATTAGGTAGGAATTTTGCATAGCGGGGTTATTTGTATGTCCTGATCACGAATACCAAAATCAGTTTTCAGCTCTGAACGCCATTTGGCGCCATTTAGGCGCTGATTTGGCGCCACACCCTTTTTTATCAAAATCGATAAAACCTGCATAATGGGATTGTTTGATGCCCTGATCACGAATAAGGAAATTTATTTTTCACGCCAACGGCCATTTAGAGTTTTCTAAGGCTGAGCCTGGGAGAAAGAGTGATTTCCTTCAGGTCAGGCTCAGCCTTAGCAGAGCGCAGATGATCGCAGCGTCTTCCATCAGCGCCAGCGCCAAAAATGAATGTGATATTTGTAATCAAGATGTCAAATAACCTCCGTATACAAGTTTTCAGCGGATTTGGTGATCTAGGGTATTTTGGCGCCGGCGCCTGTGGCGCGGGCGCCAGGCAGTTTCGGGAGGAGCGGATGTGATATTCGTGTTCAGGAGGTCGAATTACCCCTAGAACCCAACTTTCAGCCAAATCTGCCCCCGTAGAAAAAAGTCGATCAAGATCCGGTTCGTTTTCGGAAAATTGGGGTAGTAATAGTTGATTAGTGCCGAAAAATAGCCTTGTGGGTTCGTGCAAAAATAGTACTTCTGTAAGTAATACGAACTTTTACACAAATTCAACCCGATTCATTGGTGGACTGAAGCAGCAACGCATCCTGCCCCGAACAGCAGGACTGCTTTTGATTGCATATGGCTATTTAAAAAAAAGGCTATTCAAGGAAAATAGAATCAAGGTCAGGTGATCAGCACGGTCAGCAAAAGCAGGAACACACAGGGCACATCGTTGTTGGGGAATCCCCAGGGGGGGGGGGGTCGTATTTGGGCTGAGAAAAATTTATTTTGATAGTTGATTTTTCTCGCTTCACGGACGTTGTAAAAAGGGGGGGGGGGGGGGGTCGTACTTGCTCATTGTTGGGAGGGGGGGGGGGTCGTATTTACTTTCTGGCCTTCTAGGAGTGGTGGTTGACTTTTCGTGATTTTCCTGTTTCATGCGTACTATGTATCCCCCCGCTCGACAGCAAAATTTTTGGGAAAAAGTAGGGAAGTTTTCGGGAAATTTTGGAAAAAGTGGCAGGAAGTTGGGGAAAATCTGAGAATTGGTAGAAGGGGGGGGTCGTATTGTCTCGCGGCTTTTCCTGTTTCACATGTGCTATTTACCTCCCCCCCCTCCCCGCTCGACGGCTCGATTCGATGATGAGGAGGGACAGAGGGCCGGAGGGGGGGGGGGGTCGTACCAACCCCAAAAAAGGGGGGTCGTACGGACTCGACTAAAATCCCCAACCAATGATGTCCCCTGGAACACAGTGTCGGTTTTTATCCGCCAAGCCTTCAGTGGCCAACGGCACACGCCCGACGTTGAATGTAGGGCGGGCATTCGTTATGGGCCGTCCATCTGCGTGCCTTCAACCTTTCACGGCCGTGACGCCCTCGCCGCTCACTAGAGAGCAGGAAAAGCAGGACAACTTCTGTAATTGCGAAGAAGACTACTTCGACAAGGAACGAATCCTACCACATGGTTGATTCTCTGAGGTGGAAAATGTTCTTGACAATACTACCAGTTCCCCTTCTTCTCTTAACTTCTTCGTACAAATGTCAGTTCTGTAAAGTACCGCGTTAAAACGCCAACTAATTAATTTGCCAGGTTGCCATGTCTGCTTACATCCTCCATTTAAGCTGACGGTAAGTACACGAAGGGTATCTCCCACTAGCCTTCCTTAGCTCTGCAAATGCTACCAAATATCGCAGCATAACAGATTATAAGTATAGTAAAACAATATTTTTACTAGAAAGCGGAGAGAATGCTGTGGTCCTGGCGAAGTGGAAGCGCTCATTACGAGCACGGTTGAGAGAGGATAGCATGAGATTCCGAGTCGGTTCTCGCTCACGTCAAGTAACCCTTTCGTAGCTGCTGGACCGGTGGGCACTATTTGTATCAGGGCAAGGTAAAACTAAGTTATAAGAAAACGAGCGGGATATACCAACTCTGCTTATGAGTTGTGGGAGGAGCGAGTGCACACAACACCTCTTACCCTTAGTTTTCGCCTAGACAGCTTCTCGCTGAAGGTGGAAAGTGGAATTAGTGCCGCTCTCGCTTCCTGGCCTCACCCAAGGGTTCCTCCAACTGAACCGGCTTACGGCATGCCCATTATTGTGCATCCACGGGGCCAACAGGATACATATACTCGAAATCCCTGAGATCGGATAGGCGGGTATGGGTCCCATATTTTTAAACTTAACCTGAAGGTTCTCTGCTTTTGGTGAGATTTCATCTTG